CAAGATTACATTGGGCGGTTGTTCAAAATTACACCACAGATTCTGTTCGATGCGAATATATGCCTCATATGCCTCCAATATCCTAACGGCCTGAAAATCCGTAGGTATCCAACACCGTACCCTGATACCATTATCCCCCATGCGAGGTGATGACTGAGTACGTGAAACCGTGTACGGCAGTTTTTTATTTTATTTTCAGCTTTGAGTTCAAAAAAACCGGAATATGGCGCAAGTATCGCACCGATGGGTCATCAACCCAACCCTACGAGAACCCGATGCGATAATGGGAAACTCTAACCCCGAAATTTGATATTGCACACGCATACATACCTTCGGTGTATGCACGGTCTGGTCTGTCATCCTGCCGCCACCGCCCCCTCGCGTAACCGTGACGAAGGGAACATAAGGCCTCTACTCGTGATACCGATGCACCCTCATTCGCAAGGCAAAAGGGAGGTATAATGAGTAGGCGGCCTCCCGTTCCACCATCCCATACTCAACTCCGAAAAGCCGTCCAGTGATATTCAGCTACTTAGTATTTCCAGATCTGGCTATATGCAGTTAACTTATTGGTTTCTTCTAAGACGGAGTTTCCTAGCTATGGCGTGGTAAGCGGAAGGACGGCACACGCTTCACTTCCTTCTGATCTAATGGTCGACGACATCCTTTTCTCTGGATGAGCGGTTGGCCTTCATTGGGCTTCACGACGCCACATACGTGAGTAGGTATCAATCGTATTAATCGTATTTGGCTCAAGACTGGTTGCGCCGCTATCCTGGGTAACATGTAGTCAACTCGGATCACCAAGTTCGCCAACAAAAACGAAGCAATCTCTATTGGTAGAGCTAACACCTGCGTGAGAGATAGTTCCCAGCAGGCAGTACGTAACTCAGTACTCGAGAGGTTGGTAACCAACTAGTAAACTAACATTAAAGCTGCCGCGCTTAGCGGGAGAATACCTTGTATTGGAAGTTGAACGTTAGAAAGGAGTCGTTTCGATTATTAAGGATCTTTTTGCTACCATGGATTCTTGGAAAGTTCTCATTTCCCTCACGTTCCCAAACCATTCAGGAATCAGCGATTGCCTGTTTCTACCTACGCAGGTATCTACATCGTAAGGTATTTGAGAAGATTGAAACTGCAAAGTAAATATAGATCATGAAGTCAATCAATTCAATGGCAACAGCAAGTGAGCCGACCGAACCGATTAAACCAGTAGAAGACCTAGGTAGGTAGATTGTCAAGTGTTTAAATGGTGAACAGTGGCTGGCTTAACTTAGGATGTATGTAAGGGATATATAGGGGTATCTTTCCAAGCAGGCAACGAATCACGCATCTCTCATTCCAAAAAGTCAACGTCTACTGCGCCTTCGTCTCCGTCTTCACCGGCTCCTTCGAAACTGTCCTCGTCGCCGGCCCCGACACGCCCTCCCCATAAATCGGCTCTCCATCTTCTGCGCGGATCGCCTTAACGTGTCGCCTACCCGTCAAGTCCATCACGATCGCGCTGAACGTCCTCGCCAGCGTGACGCGCCCCTCGAAGACCGGGAACAGGCCCACAGCACCCAGAGAGCAGAATATCCAGATGATCCCGACAGTAACCCAGCCGGTGAAGAACGGCTTCGAGAACACGTAGCTGCTGCCGTACATGGGGAACGGCCACAGTAGCAAAAAGGCGAGCGTGAGTCCGACCGTCGTCCACTTGGAGATCTTGCTCGCGCGCAGCAGTTTCGTTTGCTCATCGCTCATCTCGTTCGCCGTCTCCACGTGCCCGCCAGCCGTGGTCTCCAGGTCCACGCCCGCCGTCGCCGCTAGGTCCTTGTCGTCGCCCCGGCGGATTTCCATCATGGATTTCCAGTCGTAGTTGTCTAATCCAAAAATGAGTGTGAAGATGGGGATGAGAAGTAGAGGTGAGAGCAGCGCGGTCACGTTGCCCGCGAGCATCGGGTTGTTGGAGCCCGTGCATGCGACGTCCAGAGCGCCGCACTCCTTGCGCGCGGTGACGAGCCATGCGATTAGGGCGAAGGCGAGTCCGAAGATGGGTGAGAGAGCGGCAGCCCACTTGTTCTGTCCCTTCCATACTAGTGTTAACGTAGCCGGGATCACGGCGGACGAGATGATGCAGCCCATCATGAGGTAGAGGTAGCCCATGGAAATCCCGGCGTAGTAGAGTCCAACGGAAAAGGTGGAAATGAAAAGCGCGTAGCCAACGACGATTACGTGCGACATGTAGATAAGACGTCGCCCGCTAGCATCGGGTTTAAAGTAGGTGCGATAAAAATCGTAGGTGAAGATGGAGGAGACGGCGATTAATTCCGACGAGGTGGCAGATGTGACGGCCATGAAGATGATGAGTAGTGTAGCTACCGCGCCGCCTTTTCCTAGGAGAGCAACGGCAGCATACGGCAGCACAAGACCGGCTGACACATCAGCTTCGGACATGCGATCGGGATAAGTTGGGAACGAGGGCGTGTTCTCTAAGGCAAGAGCGGAGAGACCCATAGTCGTAGCGGTAAGCCATGGGATAGCAAACCAACTGAGACCTCCCAGAATGTAACCGGGAAGGGCGTGAACGGGAGAAGCGGCAATAGCCTTGTTGTAGTATCCGTTATCGAGAAACACGGTACCAAAGTTACCAACAATGTTAATAACGAAAAAGATAGCTCCCTCTTGCGAGCGCATAGTCAGATAGCTTCCCTGGGCATTTCCTTCCACAGGGTGGTTGAAAGCAGCCTCGACTAAGAGATCGTAAACAGCTGATGGCGAACCAAGGGTGTCGGACGAGGCATAGGCCGTCAGGGAGAAGATGATAATTATGATCAGCAAAATAAAAGTGTGAATCCAATCCGTGAGAATCGTTGCCTTCAAGCCGCCGACTAAAGTATACGCAACGACACCAACCGGCAAAAGGTAAATAGCGGCGATCGTGTGCATTCCCGTAAGAGCGTTAACTGTCGCCGATCCGCCAACAACCAGCATAAGACTGACGAGGATATTCGTCACAAGACCGAAAACCATGAAAACGATATGAGCGACAGTTCCATAGCGAGCCTTGATACTATTTAGATGTTAGTTCCAACTCCGATCTTTCATAATTCAAGATCAAAACATACACCTCGAGGAACGTATGCGCATTAGGTGCGCGACGTTTTAGCTCAATAGCTAATGTCGCGAAAAGCAGAATCTGAACTGTTGCTCCCGACGCGTACCAAAATGGGCCGGAAACACCATATCGGTAACAGACGCCGGAGCTCTGTAAAAGTGTGGCGGCCCAAGTCCACGATGATACGACGGCGGATCCGACCAATCCGCTTTTAACCGTTCGGCCGGCAGTGGTGAACATTTCAGATGTCTGCAGTTCCGAGTTGTATCGTTTAAGAATAAACGTGACTAAGATCTAGAAATGGGATTAGTACATATTTCTCGGAGGCGCACATTCGAATGGGTATGTAATTGTAAACTTGGGCATGACTAGCTGGGTGGTCTTGACGAGCATCAAGGCCGTCATCGTTTTTCTCGGGTCGCAAGATTCGAGAGATAACGGACGGAACTACTTCTTACCATTCCAAGAGCAAATGCAATCCCCAAACCGAGAACGATGCCATAACCGACACCCTGATCTAAGGGCGCACCGACCGTTGCGGCTGCCATTTTCCCCAGCTTTTCTATGGTAAAGATTGTGGAAAGATCGTGAGTGGTGTATTTGCTTTCGGGTGGTCAGTACAGAGATCAGCAAGCGAAGCTGCAGATGATGGGGACTCGGTGCAACATTATATACGCATGAGACGAGCAATGTAAGACCCTATCAAATGTATAATACTCTTATCTGTAGCTTAGCTCGGTCCTCGAGGTTCTTCAAGCTTGCCCCAGATTGTAGATTGCGGGTTACCTAGGTTGGCGCTCTGGTATCACGGCTTGCGATAGATCAACCCCCGCATGCAGGGTCTCTCACCTGGAAACCTACCGGTAGGGCTTTGAGATGTCTCATCAGGCATATGGAGGTACCTGGTATCTGTGTTCTTTGTTTTGAGTCTATCAACCTTTTGAGTCTATCAACCGCGGGATCAGATCACGATCATGTTTTCAGCTCATTCGAGGATAGAGATACATAACCCACGTACGATTACCTTCCGTAGGGGTTAGAGTTGAGCTCTGATAGCTCAGCAAATTTACCTTGTAATTACTCGATAGCCTTACACAATAGCTTAACCTAGAAGGTAGGTACCCACCAACACACGCACTACCTTCAAACAGCACTTATCGTGTAACAACTTAGATAAGAACCGCAAATAGAATCAAACTGTCAGATCCAAGACAAAAAGGAACCAGGGCCGCCAGAGTACAGTTCGGTAAGGTTCCATGCAAATCTGACCCCCATGATTGTGTAAGCGGCCAGATCATAACGAATTGGCCAATCATATGCTTTTCTCTATGATCCCGAACTGATAAGAGAAGTGTGGGGTCATCGAAATAGACTTCCATGCCCAGCCTTTTTTTCACGATTGTCCTGCCTGTTTTTCTCCAGCTTGAGACTGTAGGTATTATAGTCACTGGGTCACTTTAGGTAAGGCAGATAATATGTCCGATTGGATAATCTTAGAGTCCTACCTTGGGAGGCAGGGGAAAAACGTGGACGAACTTAATAAATGATTGCCGAGCCTTACGATTTCCAACACGCTACGGTCGGAGATGACCGCCGGAGGGGGTAACCTAAAGAGTATGGGATACACATCGCTGGTTGAAGTAAGTTTCTTTCATATGGGCACGCCAAAACTTTACACATTCTACCCCAAGGGGTACGTACGGATAGGTTACGTGAAATTTCAATTCCTTTGGGAGCTGGATAGCTTTCGCAAGCGTTTCATCTATCCCAAAGTCTTAAGAGCCTCAAGGAGTAGCACTACTGTGCTAGACTGGGGCTGTCGGCCCACTGTCACATGCCACAACTGGAAAGCCCCTGACTAGGGAACATATACCTCTTCTACAACTCAAAGCTTAACGGTCGGATGGTGTAGTTGGTTATCACGTCAGTCTAACACACTGAAGGTCCCCAGTTCGAGCCTGGGTTCGATCAATCATTTTGCCAGTTTTGTACCAACCAATTGTTGGTTGCTGCCGATATCTGGTTCTAACTTCCATCATACCCATCAGTATGCTCGCTTGGAAAATGTCGCACACTCTACCTACGTGTCGCAAGGTCAAGCAAGCGGTGAGAATGAGTTTCGCGCAGTTGACTGATTACTTTGCTCATGTTAAGGATTAAAATCATCCCGCCGCCCTTCCTTGAAGTTGGCCAGAAATCCGGCACAAGGGTGTGGCGACATTTCAATCTACACACTTCATCGTCCACTAGCAAGACGCTCTGTAAGACAGCTTCTGAATAACAATCAGACCTCTTTGCTTTACCTACCTATACACGAAGTTCGGGAGCTTGGTAGATGTTCAAATGTACTGTAGAAGAGTCGGCGTCCTCTCTAGTGAGGGTCAGACTACTAATCACAGTTCCCCGCCGCAAGTCGATCAATCGAACCACAATACACGACTCTCGATCATCCGCATATTAACGTATTCCCTATCGACGATGCGCAACCTCGGATTTCGTCGAGGGATCGAGTTGTTTCGCGAATAAGACTCGCACCATATTTTGGCGGGCCTCACTCTATGTTATCCAGTCAACGAAGCAATGAGGAGATAACAACATTATTGCACGAGGGTCTCTAAACCTCAGAGCAAATAAACCTCGGGTATATACACCAGAAAGAACAAAGGGGCCGAATCTCTGCCAACCACCCAGTAGGCCTAGATATGATCCTACCCAGTGGCCAAGGGCCACAATACATAATTCTGCCAAAGATGGCCCAATCGCTCTTGTGCCTATTCCTATTAAGAACCCGACACCACAATCCCTAGAGCTTGTCTTTCACACTACTTCGTGGGCTTTCATTCCCTGCTAGACCATATCTGGACGTTTCTTCTAGACCAGTGCGCTCGATCACAAGTTGGGTGAGTGACGAGGAGGTATCCAATTTTCGCGCGCCATTTTCAACTGGCAGTTTGGCCGAAACGGGAACAGCAGCGGTATTTGGGTGCTCGTCCTGGTTGAAGGTAGCTGGGGTCTGGGCACCCTCTTGGCCTGCTGTAGGCTTGTCCTGATTTGATTCCTCCATGCCTTGAAATGTGGGAGAGTCTCGGTCAGGATGCTAGTGAGAGGTTCAGAATATCTTAGGGTTGTGTCTTGTGGACAAATTAGGCCTCATACCTTTTTTTAGGGGAAGCTGCAGACATGTTTCAGTGTTATCAAATCGAAGATGGATCGTTAGCGGAATAGTGGACATCAAAGACTTCATTCTTACACCATAGATAGGTTCTCTGCATGAACAGGTACTTGGTAGGAATGATGGTGCTGATTTTATAGGTATGAAAATCTACCTAGATTTTCTGGGTACCTAACATTTCAAAAATAACAGGCCAAGGTGTACACACAACTCTATCATCATGGCTTCTGATGGGATAAAATTAGGATTCATCACTGACTGCTATTATGGATTTGACAACGTGGTGTTGATCATCAAGGTTTGAGTGTTATCTGGAAATGTTTTAATTCGATCAGTTCTGGTTTTGACTCGAGTATTCTAGGCCTTTTCCAAATACCAGTTTGGGATTAAAAATGTCATTGTTACCATGAACCAAAGGACGTGGAAACAAGAACGTTATTGTACATAAGGCTATTAACGCAGTAGTTAGTACACTTCGAATACACAAGTACTGATCCCCCGATGTCATCCTGCCGTCCAAACCTCCGTTTCTGACTTCCCTCTGACAAGGCAGGAGCTATGTCAAGGTCCCAGCCCTCTACCCGGGCAATATCTCAGACTCGTTAGCTGGCAGGATAGAGAGACTACAGGAATACCTAGCCAGGTCTCTTTGTACTGACCAACTAGATATCTCCCACCGCGTGGTTAAGTTCGAGACAGGCCAAAGGGCTACTGAAAGCTTTAACATTAAGAAACTAGGTCCTCGCAGAGTCTAGTTACTGCTCCTAAGTATAGGATTTAGAGACCTCGTTTGATCGTTTAACCTACGCATTACTTAGGTATCTAGTCTATACTAGATGATCATATTTGAAGTGGGTTTTACATAAATTGCGACTTTACGAACTAATCCGCATATGTTCACTTCGTCAAGAGCTTTCCAAACGAAGACTTGGGTGCTTATGAGCAAAATCACTTGAGATTTATAGGTATTTACCTACCTAAGGTACCTAGGTGCCCATGCGTCCGGCGCCTCACAATTTCCTACGGCAACTATAAGGCAAACTCTCCCGCACTCCTTCATCTCGCTTATTGACCACTTAGTGTGAGTTCTGGATTGTCTGGCTCATGAACACCAGGAGAACTCCAAGGTACCTATTCGTGAGATGTTAGTCAAATCTATGAAGCGGCCAGGGAGATAATTACTCACGCTACCGTACAGGCAAACAGTTCATGTTTCATCGGCCGCGTCAGATATTTGGGACAACATGCGAAGACGCAGGTGAACCCTACTTGGATAAACATAATACCGACCAGTGTACCTTCAGTTATTTCGCCTCGACTCAAGGTGTAGAGTGGATAGATAGGGCCAACTAGAAGCACGATCAGGGGAAGCCCTAAAAGGATGGCCTTTGCGACCATGGCTTTTCGGGTACTATGGATTATCATGAATGCGTCACGGCCGCTCTTCGCCTGGAGGTGCATTAGTTACGGCAGTCTAAAGCAAAGATGTTGTCATACCCTATCCTGGAAGATATGCTGAGTAACCTCGGTATTAGTTCAGACCACACAGCTTTGCCATTTGCAAGACACTCACTCGTGTTAGTTTATTAGGCGCGTCTAGTAGAAATTTCATGAGCCGCGTGTCTAGTTCTGCCGTATCACCCCGTGGCTTTAACAATATCAGATCATCCTTGTAGAGGTAATACTTGTAAATGGGCGGTTCGTGATTGTTGAAGAAGTTCTTCAAACTCTTGAAGTGCGTGTCTGGGGGCTGTCCTCGGTAAGTCAATTCCGACACCTGATTCATGAGTATGACTGATTGTTTGTTAGGCATGTCCTCGTCGCTCGCCTGCGTTGACTGCACCCTCCTGACATGATCGTCGAGGAAATCAAGCTCTTGCTCATATATTCGCAGTTGCTCTTGGAGATGCAGCAGCACCCTCGCTTGCAGAAAGCCAAATTTACGGAAAATCAAGTGATTCTGCTCCGCCCCAATGAACTCTGCCAGCCGTGAATAACCATTCGGTGAACCGTCAACTTGGCGGGCAGACTTTTGGTTAGCCGTGGACTTTTCCGCATAGATGGTGTTAAGATTAGGCTAGCTTACTGCTCCTGAAAATGTTGTCGATGAAGTATCTCACATGCGGTCCACTCGGTATGACTTCAGGCTGGCTCTTGAACAAGGCCACAAGTTTGGCCAATAGACCGTCAATTCGGCCTTTCCACCTGATATATCCATTGCCATCTTCTGCCAATCACCGTTAGCCCTCATAGCTAAGGCTTGTTATACATTCTCTAACCTGGCATACCGTGGTCCGACCGTAGTCCATTCGATTGCTCGTTGTTCGAAGCTAAGTTGGCTTCCATATCAACTGCATCTGCCATGCTGCGTACCTACGAATCGATAAAATGAACGGCGACAAGACTAGTAGTATGGCTTAGTGTGAGGAAGGGAATTCTTGGAAACAAACCCCAGGGCTGTCAACTACGGAACCAGTATGTATTTTAAAGGAGGAGTCGAAAATCTCTTCGTGTATCATGTCACTCAAGCAATACGGTCAAGTATCAGGTGGATTCACAATATGCATCTACCCTTGGCTCTGTAACCAATGCCGTCAACAAGAGTCTATGCTCCTAGCCGTAAATGACAAGGCAACTGGAAGTTGTAGGCGGACCATGATAGCTGTGGACGTATATTCATGTCTTTTATCGATTCCAATGTATATCCCCAGATAATATTCTCTACCTTCAAGTTCGTACTCTGATATAATGATTTGAACAATGTTGTTGTGCCAGGAGCTTTGAACCTTAAAGCTACAGAATCCCGGATGCCGACATGCTTAAGCTCACTTGGTCGTGACGGCAATGTTAGCTACGAACTTGCGCGCTTCTACCACCAGGCAGCTCCTTGTACCCGTCCGTCTTCTTCAGCTCCTGCTTGATCACATCAATAGCCTCGTCCCACTTCTCCTCGTCCGACTCCAGCCAGCCGACCGCCGTGGTACCTCCGATGAAGCTCCAGAGCATGTTGGCGTAACGATCCAGCTCTGCCGTCGTGACGTACACGTCTACGGTGTGAACAGCGATCCCGTCCTTCCGGAACCCGCCCTTCTCTACGACGCTGCGTAAGAACTCGGACTGCGACCATTTCTCCATGCCGGCTCGCGGCAGCGGGGTCTCCGGAGGGCGTGTGGCTTTGGCGGCGGCTTCGAGGACGGGCATGTTAGGCACGTACGCCCAGGAGTTAAGGATCGCTTTGCCGCCGGTCTTCAGGGTCCGGTACATCTCCTTGACTGCGCCGACGCCGTCGTCGGGAAGGACGAAGAGCAGCGCGTTTCCGATGGCGGTGTCAAAGGTGCCGTCGTCGTACGCGAGAGCGCCGGAGTCCATGTTGGTGGCCTCGGCAGGCCACGCGCCGTCTGCGGCGTTATGCCGGTAGATCTGGAGCGCGCCCTCGTTGACGTCGGTGCCCTTGATGGTGATCTTTTGTATGGATTTATCCGCGATGGAGGATACGATGGCTGCGGAGGCGGCGCCGGTGCCGCAGCCGTTGTCGTTGATGACGGAGCCGTCGGCGATGGAGACGAATCCGATAGAGGCCCTGGCGAGGTTCTCCATGCTGTCGGAGACCAGCTCGTCGTATAGCTGAGGGGTAGGGCTTAAAGCCTGTTTGGGCACGAACTTGACTTCTCCTTCAGGGGCGTTCATGATGGGCTTAGATTTGGGGTTTATACATGTAAGAAAACGTTATCGTGTTAGAAAATGAATGTATATCGAAAGAACCCAGGCGACTTTATAATCATGAGTCTCTGCTTACCCC